AAAAGGGCAATAAAATATTTTTCAGCAGTCAGAGAAACTCAATTTTAACTTTAGCTCTCATCCTTATGGCTTAATACACAACAATTAATATATTCTTATCTTTAATTGTAATATAGGGCCTGGAAGACCTTAAATGATTTTATAAGCATTAATTTGACAGATGGTGTAAATACACTAAAAATCTATGAATTACTGGGGCTGGAGAGATGGCTCAGCTGTTAAGAACACTGGCTGTTCTTGCAGAAGACGTAGGTTCAAATCCCAGCATCTACATGGCAGCTAACAACCATCTGTAACCCCAGTTCCAGGGCATGCAACACCTTCTTCTATCTTCTGAAGGCACTGTACAATATGGGTGCGCTTACACACATCCAGGCATAACACTCATACACATAAAATTAAAATAAATAAATAAATAAAAATTTACAAAGACTATTAATTACCAAAACGACATTATTATCCAAGAATAATTTCAGTGAATATGAAATTAAATTAAGTAGCATGTGACTGCTTTTTGATACTTTGTATTATATTAATTTTATTTTCAAAGAACAATTTTTCAGGCATTGATATAGTATGTCAAGCTGAGTCACCTAAAATGAAAAAAATTGTGACATTCATATGGAAAACTTCTATAGAAGATTCTTTCAATATATACATGTACAATATGACAAGAGTTTATGTATGGTTGCCCTGTAACAGGCAACAGTAGCCCTAATACATACAACAGGACAGGAAATGAAAAGTTCAATACCAGGAGTGGGATCCCTCTTTGGAGTTGTTGGCCAGAGAGATACATAGACCCTCAAACAATACTGGCTACTACAATTGCACCTGGTTATCCACCAGAACTTAATGGTAAGACTCTTGCTGAAGACACTACATACCTGAGTCACAGAAGAAAAAGGAGAAATCAAGCTGACATTGAAATTGAAGCTTCATCTCTGCTGGATGGATTTCATACTACTAGAAGGTGCTATGCATGTTACTGGCAGAGAAAGGTAATCATCAACTTTACCCATCAGTGAACCCTATGAGCTACAAAAACAATGTACTTGGCAAATTATGCCCACCCGTGCAATAGTGGCATAAATGATAAAGGAGTAACCAACCACCTTCTAATTGGATTTAAAGCCCTATTAATATCATTCTGCTAAATAGATAAAATAAAACTGACTCATAATGACTTATGTTTTATGCCCATAGATTAGTGACTCTCTCAACTCTTGCCACAGAAGGTTCTTCTTGTAGCAGATGGTGATTTACACAGAGACCCAGAATGGCTCAATGTATGAAGACTAATAGACTGCAGAATGCTCAACCCTAAATGGGATACTTATATTGCAACATCTTCTCCCAAGACTCAGAGATCATTACAGAGGGAGGGGTGGAAAGATTGTAAGAGCCAGAGGTTGTAGATGAATACAAAGGAACTGTGTTATGAGCCCATAGCACTTATAACAGCATGCATGCAAGATCTAGCCAAACCCAAGCCAGACAGGAGCCCAGCATGGATATGGGAGGTGGGCAGGAAGCCCTAATATGGTGAAGCATATTAACTTTTATATATTGAATTACCCTTACAATCTGTAAACAAATCCAGTTGGTCCTGATATATGATCCTTTTCTGCTAAAAAGTTCTCAACTTCTTTTCCTAAGTTGACACTTTAAGCTAGTTACATATTTGTCTGGATATTCATTTTAATCCAAACCTTATTTACTATGGTTTCAATTGTTCTTTTCTTATCAGTGTCCTTATTTAGCAAAAATAAATATAACCATTAACATTTCCTCTTTAATCTATTTGAAACAGACATACAGATATAAAACCACTATTACAAATTTCAAAACAATCCTAAAACTGGAGGCACAACTTTACTGATTGTTTTCACTGTGTTTCTATTGATGAATCATTCCTCTAGTTATGGACTACATATTTTTTATATGTCCAATAATTTGTAGTTCTATGTTGGCTGGTGTTAATGTGACATTGTTAAATCTATGTCTTGGCTTCTTAAATCAATAAAGATGGACAGATTTTTTCACTGTAATGTGGTTAATTTTTTAAAATTATTTATTTAATAACCATATAATTAGAAGAGGCATTTCATTACAACAGCATTGACATATTCAATAACAATTTCCAGAGCTAAGATGCTTCTCTTTCAAAATTGGTTGTAAATTTTTAGGTTTGATTCTGAATTTTGTTAAGTTGATGTTGCTTTTCAAAACATTTTCCGATGTGTAACCAAAAGTGCTTCTTAAAATATCTCCATGAGGTAGTGAATATATGAGCCTTGTTTCCACCTGGAAATTATGTCTACACTTATGAAATCACTTACTCTGAAATATTATTTATCCTGAGAAGTGGTTTTGCTGTTTATGCTTTATAACATTTTCACTTTTTTTACTTAATAATATCATTCAGTTGAGAGGTTCAATCACTTTATGTTCTAATTTTCATCAAAAAAAATTTTATGTGTTTTAAGAAATACCATGAAAATAGTCTTGGGTTAGCCTGACAGTGACATGGACTTATAGAATACTTTGCTGAACTTCAATTCTATTTTAAAATGAAAGTACTTAGTACAATATGTGGAGTGCAACTCATTCTTTTATAGAGAGGTCAAAGTTTAATTAGTATTTTTGCAAAAGACTTAGTATATACATTTCCTATAAACCAACAGAAAAAAATCGTGCTTTTAATTGCAGCATGAAAGGAGAGGCGCTACCCACAGCTGTTCCAGTCTCTGGTGAACCATTCAGAGAGGCTCCAGTTTCATTTGGTTCCTATGAAACACATGTTGCTCATTTATTGTACATGTGCTTCAATGAAAGTTGACAAATTGAATCTAAAAAGCTACAGGTGTTCTTCATTATTTTAATTTGCACTTAGTAACCACCCATAGAACTTGGATATGCAGTGGTCTTTTCACAATCTAATTAAGAGATCATTTATCTACCTTTAATGTGAAAGCTTCTGTTCAACTTCAGTTTTGGATTTATCAGTGAGCAATGCATATTTAGCATGTTATATATTGTTTTTTGGGAAAAAAACTCTCTAATTTCAGATACATCTAAAAATACTCTGATCCTAATGTCTTCTAGAGAGTCATGCATTGTTTAGCACATGACTTGATATCAGACAGCAATAGTAAACCTAGACTGCATGCTACAAGTGATTCTCAGGGAGATCCTATTGTTACTCAAAGAGCTTCTCCATTTTAAAATGATCCTCCTATGACATATAAAAACTAAAGTTTGGTTAGCACTGTTTAAAGGAGAGCTAATATTACTCAATTGTTTTCTGTATATTTGCATGCATACATGCTCAAACACTGAAAAACTATTTTCTACACATCTGATTTACACTGATCTCACAGAAAATGATCAGGCCTATAGATCAAGCTATTTTATTTTTATTCTTTACTTTCAATTACCATATTAAAAAGTAAACCAAATCATTATTTTCCATCAGCTGCATTTTCTGTCTTTTATGACTACAAAAATCCTACTAATTGCCATGAATTTTCAATGAATAACATGAAAGAAACCGAAAAAGCTTATAGCTGAAATATGAACATTCTAGATTCCTAATCATGTTTTATTATTTTTTGTAACTTTCTATAGCATAACCTTGCTGATTGGATTAGTAGTAGATAGTAGATATGTACACTTCCTTGCCATAAAAAAATGAGATGCAAATGTCACACTTTCTGAGACTTCTTGTAAGAATAAAATATTTAATTTCTTGGATAGTTAATTCCACATTAAAAGTACCTTTTGTGGATGCTTTTGAAAATGTTTATATATTAATTATTTATAGCATATATACATTATAATCATATTAAGCTAATATATAAATGATATCATATTAATATGCATTGCATATTGATACAATTATTAGTATTTGATGCAATATAAATCAAATTTATATATAAATAAAACCTCTCAAATCATGCTGCAAGGTAATTCAGTTCAATAAAATTGTGTTTTATTGGCCATCACACTTTCTAAAAAAAAGCATAAGATAAAGTTCTTATCACAGAAGTAGAAGACTGTTTAAACTATTTATTTGTTGTGACTTTAATAGAATCTATGAGAAAATAATTTCACAGAACTCAACTAAGTACATTATTTCTATCTAATAAAATGGAGGCAAAATAATTTTCTTTTAAAATATCTTATTTGATACAATCTGGTTAATTTAGTTGTTTTAATTTCCACCAAATATACTGCTATATAATGTCTGGGAAATAAAGATCATTTAATGTTGTCTATTCAGAAGTTCCTGTTGGCACCACACACCATATCATTTATTAGTTTACAAGCTTGCAACACGCTCTATCATTTTATTACCATTGTATACATTTCTGCTCAGAAACTCTTCACACTGTTAATGTCAGATTGAATACAAATCTAATGGGCAAATACTGTAGTATCTATGACTATGTACTTAAGTACAATACAGGACATTCTGTGCCTGGCAGTGTGCAAATGTAGACAGAATAAAGAGATATTCTATAACTTCATATATGAAATTGTACTTTTGATTTTTTTGCTTTTGCAAAACAAAAATCACAATACAACTTAAACAACTCTAAGTTTTACAAAAGAGCTACTGTGTGTTGACTAAAGACTGAGTGATCTCTACAATGTCAGGAGGTTACTGTTCAGCTGTTCAGGATCATAAGATGATATCTCAACACTCATAAAATAGAGGATTCAAAACACAGGGGTGTACATGGAAGTACAGATCATTATGACAGTCCTGGAAGTCATCCACAAGGAACGTCAGCACTCTGGAGGCCCAAAATAATGCTACCGAATGACCATGTACAGCTTTTGTTCCAAACGAAATGCAACACAGGGAAAATACACAGTGAAATATGTATGATAATATAATAGTAATTTTATATTTGGCTTATTCCAAAATATTGAGGACCTCAAAAACCTACAGGATGTCTTTTCTTAAACATTTAAAATGCACAATATTTATTCTATACAAAACAAACAACTATCTTAAATTAATCGTTTCCTACAACTGTCTATTAAATAGACAATCCAGTTAGTGAGGCACAGCATGAAGATTTCCTTTGCCCACTTCAATTCAGAAGCAAGAAGAGACAATTTGGTTCCCGGGATCCAAAAATTTTATCTTCCAGTCATTACTGTTGGTCTAAATATTTACATGGTGGTTTCTTCCCATTCCAGTTCAACATCACCTATAACATGTAATACAATGTGAAAAGACACTACTGAAATTAACAATTCAACAGGTTTATATTTTTAATCATAAAACATAATCAAGCTACGATCCCAACTATGATAAAAAGGAAATAAAAAGTTGATATATGCACTAAATTGGCTTCTCAAGTATTTTGATCAGGTTACTGTGAAATTAATAGTCCTCAGTAGGTGGTAAGCTAGTGAGCAGGGTATGGATTGCGTCTGCTTACCTTCCATGGCATCCAAAGAGTCCATCTTCTGAAGCGTGGAATAGTTAACAAAGCAGATGGGCTGGTGACTTCCTTTATTTGATAAGAGATCCAGAATGCACTGATGTAAGAAGATATATTGTGCCTAGACACCAAAGGAAGAGTTGAAACAAACAATGGGGTGGGGATTTTTCTTTTAAAGAGAGCATCATCAGTGCTGCTAGTGGTAAAACTAACATTACAGTAGTCCTTCAGACTACAAAAGTGTGTATTTTAAACCATCCTTACTCATGCATAAGAAATATATCTGACATAAATTGATGAAACTGATTTTGAGAAAGTCCTCAAAAATGGTTGTTTTAGGAGGTTATGTTCGTATCTTCTACTATAATACTTCAAAACCATTTGTGGAACTTTTCTATTGAACTTGTTCTCTGAAATTGCTGGTCATTATTAGTAATGCTTATTTCTTTGTGGGTTATAAAACATTTCCAGTAACATTTCATTACTAGAATGGCATTCTATGAGAGCAAAACTCTTTCATATTTGTTGCTAAATTCCTACTGGCAACATCAGTGCCTGGCACACAGCAGTTGTGTAATAAATATTTGTTGACTTAGTCTTATTTAATTATCACAGCTACCCAATCTTTGCCATTTAAGGGCAGATGTGATTTAGTGAACATGCCATGCCGAAGTCATTAGGGATCAAGTTTTGTACTTGAGGTGGATGATCCAGTTACAGCATTCAATTTTGTTAAGAAATGAAGTGTTATTACGAAATAATAATCATACTACTCACATTGCTAATAAGTTTCTTTCATTATAACTCCAACAGCATTTTCAAATATAGATCATACAATGAATGTTATTAACAGATGTACATCTGCACAATACAATTTTTTAAAAATAATTTACACTTAGAAATCTTGAGATTTTTCAACAGTAAATTTGAACTTGAAGTCAGTCACATTTGATATATGAAGCTCTTGACTACCCGGTTCTCATCTTCTCCACTGGAAAGAATGATGGGTGTAAACTCTGCCAGGAGAGCAAGCTGAGCAGTGTGAGACAGTTCTGTGGGCTCCAAGATCCCTCAGGCATTATGTGTTATTGCCAAGGAGGTTATGAAATGTCATGAAAATACAAGTTTCTACCTCAGATAACAATGCTGATACCTTAAGAATTAATTTCATTTTTATGAAGCTGAGTCTCCTGGTCCCAGGGAATCTAAACCCTGCATTGTGAGATTTAAAGAATATTTAACATACCTGAAATATGTGTAAAAAATTATATATCCAAAGCATGATAGCTTTTTTTTTCCTCTATCATATGATTTCATGCCAGCTAATTTCCAGGAGAAGCCAAAGCAATGAAGAGAATATTCCAAATCAACCTTTAATCAAGGCACCAATAGTATTTCAGGATGTAATATCACTTTAGAGCCTTCTCTCAGAGGGACTTTTCAATCTCTCTCCTCAGTGTGATCTGCTCCCCTCTGCTGTCTTTCAGTGGCAGAATATTGTTGAGGTTCCTGCCTTCCCACTCCTGCGGCATTGCTGTAGTGTGTATGGAGACATGAGCATTCTTCATAGAAACTGCAATCACCCCTCAGTGCAATAGAAATAAAGAAGAGATGACCCTTCATCAAGGTAATGCTAGTTTGTAAGGACCAGAGCCAAGATGTAGTTATTTTCCTGATTTTTATCACTGGGAAAAGATAGTGAGAACACAGCTTCAGGGAACTAAGGTGAAAGAGCTTCAGACTGCCTCCTTTCCAACAAGGAGGGACACTAGCAAAACCTCGTGGAACTCACACTGCATGCTGGGTGCTTTAGACACTTTCTTTTATTTACTAGGGCAACAGGTCTGTGAAAATGATACCAACTCATAAAAGGGAAATAGCTCAGAGTGTCAGCGCCAACAACCATCAGAACTAGATTATGAATTCAGTTCTGACTTTGAAATCTTGAACTTGCCATTCCCCTATCCAACCTGAAACATTTTGTGTTGCCTGGCTGACAAATATTGCACATTAGGTTTATAACATATATGGACTACTGAATTGGGTGAAATTATTAATTTCTTGAATACATTCATGAAGGTCACTTCCACAAAGCTGCAGACCCTGACAAGTCTTTCAACTTTTATCATTTAAAGATGGAATCTAGGTGGGTGTGGCAGCACATGCCTTTAATCCCAGCAGAGGCAGGAGGATCTCTGTGAGATCAAGGCCAACCTGGTCTACATAATAAGTTCCAGGCCAGCTGGGACTACAGGGAGACTATCTCAGGAAGGAAAAAAGAAAGAACTCTAATTCTAAGAGACTATCAATTCAACCCTCTGTTCTAGTCAAGAGAGCCAACCACTAATTTTGCAAGAATAGTGATTGTCAGTGTGCAGCCTCAAGGATTTAAGAAGAAAACGCTACCCTTCTTTTTATAGCTCAATAGCCCACCCTTCCCGGCACCTCAGGAAAATTCACAGGCATTTGGAAGGACAGAACTCATTATGTAGACCAGACTGACCTTGAACTCACAGAGATCCACCTGCTTCTGCCCCCTGAGAGCTGGGATTAAAGTCTAGTGTCACCATGCCTGGCAGGAAATTGAATTTTATTGATGGTTAATTGATACTGGAGTCCTCATTAAGATAAAGACCAGTTATATTATCAAAGGACCCACTGTACAATGCAAATACAGTCTCTTTGTCATGCTAGCATGAATGGGCTCCCTGATAGGCTGCCCAAGTCTAAGTGGTGAGTCCTAAACCCATGTACACTAATTGGACTGAGTAGGTTTTATATGTGTACGTGTAGGAAACAATAATAAATATAGAAGAGGACAGGAGTTTGAGAGTGGAATGTGGCAGGGACATAGGAAGAGTTGGAGGTGGAAAGGGAGAGGTAGAGGTGATGTAAAATATTAAGTGTATCTATCTATAAATTCTCAAAAACTGGTTCATGAATACAAAACAATAAAAATTAATGAAATACTCATTTTAGTTATATTTTATTATAACCAACTAAATGCATTGTCATTTTATATGTATATATATTTCAAAATCATGCTAATAATAATTCTAAATTAAGTTTGTTTATTATATGTCAAAAAAGTTTCTGAAAAATTAAGAAAGTGATGCACTTAACCAAATGCAGGGTACTTTTGAGTGTGGGGACCTATACACTACATAGAGTGTATGTCTACGAAGCTAACCCTGTCACATGTAGTATTACATTTCTGAAAAAGCCTGAGTGAAGAGTGATACTTGACTCATTTGTTCCCTGTCAGCACACGAGGGATTGCACATGGACGTGATCTAGTTTTACCTAGTTAATCCTCCCAGGGTTGAAGTGGCTGCGAAAGATTCCAACAAAGACACTGGAGGTGAAAGTTTATATTTAACATGAAAGTCCAAATGAATGAGAAGAAATGAGTAGGCCTAACATTCTTCATGCTTCTAAAATAATCCTGTAACCATATCATGAGGCAAAAATAACAATGAACTAAGAAATGGCTAAGCTACATCACATCTTAATAATTAAAATGGAAACATTTTATCCTTCATGTAATTTGCTTTAAGAAAACATTTAATAATATGATGCCAAACCAATTAGTAAGGTTTTTAAAATACTGCTTATTTGATATTTCTATTGTTTTCCAATTTCTTTTTTTGCTTAGATTTCATAACTTAAATAATGATACATTATACATTTAAATAATAAACACATTTGTGTTGTCATTCAATATTTAAATATTTTTCCTAATAAGTTTGGATGTCTCTGGCATATGACAGTATCTTCCTAAAAGGATTAATGTACTCTGAGGTAGTCTCAGAGGTTTGGAGTCCAGAAGTATCGAAAGGTTCCACAATCATGTAAGTTTGAAAAATATTGTGCAAAAGAACTCTGCATTTGTTATTGCCAATGCATATTAGCCTAAAGGCTCTAAGAAATCCTATGTTTAAAATTAATTTCTTTATCACATTTAGCAGCAAGGCGTTTCTCACACCTTTAATAAGTTTGATGCCACTTGTATTTTAGTAAGTGCTCCAGAAAATACTGATGCAGCAGATCTACACACTTAATACATTTATTACAAAGTCCAGAACAAAGTCATAAACAGGAACATCTTGTATATTTTAGTCAAAAGGTTTGAATTTGGGCTCTGATACATTAAAAATATCACCTTGGAATATCACTTACATTTTGGGAAGTTTTGATTCCTTACTAATAAAGTAAAGCCAATAATACCTAGTCTACTGACTAGTTTTATTAACCCTGATTTACAAATAAAAGTTTTCATCAGGATTAAATAAGACAATATATGTATAACATCTAGCATACCATTTAGAACCCAATTGATACTCAATGGAAGGCTGTTCATTTCATTTCCATGTTACAGTGTAATTTCTAATAGAAGAAAAATCTGTGTTACAGATACATTTGTCTCCAAATCAATAAAAATTCCTAGTTATTTAGTTGGTAACATGCTACAATAATTATTAGTACTAATATTCAGCAGAAATACAGACAAGTGAAATACATAGAAACTCATTAAAGCCAAATTTTAATGCTTTCCCCAATTATAGCTTTAACATAACATTTGTAAAAGAAATTGCTTTGATTTCACTTTGTAAGCTCTCTAAAGTTGCTAAAAGGTAAATTAAAATCAACGCTGTATTTTTTTTTCTCATCATCAGTACAAATGAATTAGGATGAAGAGTAGGGAACAGCGCTCAAGCACATCTTCAGTTCTCCCATCACCTCCCCGACTCTGCCTCCGCCAGAGGTTGATAATATAGCCAAACAGCCTCGTGCACTGCAAATACAGCTTCATGCAGGTCACTACACTAAGATGCTCCTGTGTAGAAATTCTAGAGCTGACAAGGAAGAAGACTGAGTGGGCTGAGATGCCTTACCAGATTCTGCACCATGCACATCCGCTCACTCCTCAGTTCAGCTACCAGTCCATATATGTCCACAAAATCATGGTCATCTATATGTTGTGTTAGGTGGTCTAGAGCAATGAAAACTCCAGTTCTTCCAACCCCAGCACTGCAGGGAGATGAAATTATAGGAACATTATTCAACGAAGGATTTTTGATGTTGATGGTGATGATGAACGTAAACTATGACACAGATTACCATTAATATTTTTATCAAATGCTTTATTGGTTCTCTTTTTTTATCCCCTAGAACAGGTGCTTTTTTCAATTGAATTTTTGCGATTTTTCATACAGTGTAGTATGATGGTATTTAGATGCGCTCCCCTCTCCACATCCCCCCCATTCCTAGCCCAATTTACTGAACTATATTATATATGTAGTATGGTCTATAGAGTCTGATTTGTGTCCCCAAATGTCCTTCAGTGTGGGACCATTCCCCTGGGACCACAAAGAGACCCAACCCTGTAAGACATTCTCTTACCTGCCTCCCAGCAGCCATCAAATGCCAAAAATTCCTTAGGTTGTGTTGGGATTCTTCACCCACACCCACCACTCCCCTTCATGTCTATGCTGGGATTTTTGTCTGATTTGAGCTTGCATAGGACTTCTGCAAGCTGTCACCATTGTTTTAACTTCATATGAGAATGTTCTCTCCTTTCAGACAGTTGAACTTATCTTCTCCGTTTTAAATATCTTAAGGAGTGTTGGAAAAGTATGGAGATGATTTTCAGTTTATTTATTTATTTATTTATTTATTTATTTATTTATTATTCGTTATTTTGCTTTGCTAGAGATCTAACCCACAGTACTGTATACATAACACTGATCCCTAAACATCCCAGCTACATCCTGGAACCATTTAAAAATATTGATACAAGAAACTTCATATTGATAATATTTTCAGTTACCAATAAAAACATTAAATATTAAAATGTTAAATACTTAACTCATATAGTTTTTCTTCTGCATCATATTGGAAAAATAATCTCATGCATTTTCTTTGATTTTTTATTTTAACCTCTTAGAGATAATGTAATTCCCAAGTCTAACCTTTTAAAACGTTTAATTTAATGCCCAAGGTACAAACTGCATGGAAATGGTTAATTGACCAACCTTACAAGATTGATTCAGAAATTCCTGTTAGAAATACAAGATCTCTAGGTATTTAAATGGTTAATGTAATAATTAATCTGAAAGTACATTGAAAGGTCATCTCATAAAACAAATATTATTTTGAACTATATGAAAGTGCCATTTGTCTAAATAATACATAGCCAAATATTATCAACTACTTCCTATGATTCAACCAAAAACTTGTATTACTACAAAAAAGTGACCGTGATAACATATACATGTATATATACATATCTGTATGTTTATGTATGTATATGCCTGAGCAGAGCCATGAGTCCTTAAATCATTGGTCATATTTTGAGTGCTAGGCATTGTTCTAGGCATCAGGAATATAACAGTAAGGATGTAAATTCCCTGTGCTATGGAGCTTATCTCAGAGAACATCGGAATACAAATAAATACACATAAGTATATACTTGGGGAAATCAGTGTTACAAAGAAAGAAAAATCAGAAGGAGAAAGAAGGTGAAAGACTGAATAAGGTCATCAGTCAAAGCTTCTTTAATACTGTAATATTTGAAAAGAAGGTGGCCCAAGGTTAGAGAGTTCAGCAGGTGTGAGGCTCACAGTGGCAGAGCCTGCAAAATGAGAATATGATGAAGGCGAGCAGATTTTGTGTGTTCAAAGAAAGCAAGGAGACCATAAAAAGGGGTACAGTGAGGAGGTAGAGGGTGGCTGGGGACTCAGGTGCCTGCTGGTGGGTGTCTGTGGAATGTGGGGTGTGGGTGAGGGTTAAGAAAGGCAAAAATGACTCCAGGGTTTCATTTCTAAGCAGAAGGGGGATCTTTTTTATTAGCTTTGAGGGAAAAGTGCAGAAGAGACTTCAGAGATGGCACCAGGTATTCTAATTGGGAAACATCAAATTCCAAATATTTTTTAGTCAGGAAAGTTGGCATGTTGCATAGAGGCTGGGACTTTACAGTTGAGGTAGGAAGGTGGGGATGTCAGACAACTGAAAATGATCTTTAAAACTGACCATCAATAATAGCATATTTTATACTATTTTATGGAAATTTTATGTAGAAGGAAATTAAATAGGGAGGGAAGAGAAAGATTCTGCTGTTTGTCTATATGCTTTATATAAATTGATATTGTTCAGATAGTTCATAATGAGGAAGCAAAAGGGTGTAATCATTTAAATGATACACTGAGATTTTTTTCTATTACATAAAGATTTAAATGTACTGTTAAAAATTATTAAAATAGCCTGGTATACTGGCCCACACCTTTAATCCCAGCACTTGAGAGGCAGAAGTAAGCAAATCTCTGAGTTCAAGGCCAGCCTGGTCTACATAGTGATTTCCAGGCCAGCTGGGACTCCAGGGAGACCCTGTCTCAAAAAGACCAAAAAAATTATTAAAATATATTGTTAACCAAAAATAATTTTATTTTATTAAAAGATAATGTAAATTTTACCATCTTAATTGTTAAATGTACAGTTCAGTGGCACTAAATATGTTTATGGTGCCATGTAGCTAGCTAGTATCATTATCCATTTCCAGAATTTTTTCATCATTCTATACATAAACTATGGTAAAAAAATAACTCTTTAGTATTTCTTCAGTGGTAGCTACACTAAATTCTTGCCTCTGTGAGTTTTCATATTTTAGGTATACTGTCTAAGTAGAATCATAATTATTCATTAAATTATCCCACTTTTCCTCCATTCTCTAATTATGAAGTCAAGTTGAGATGCGTTTATAAACTATGATAATTGTGATTATGATTTTATTTTATGAAATTTAAATTATACCCATGTAGACAGAAAAAAATTTTGAATTCTAAGCAGTTGTGAGCCTTATTTATAAGAATATTAGAAACCGTCGAAAATAATGAGGCAGAAATCCTCAACATTATTTTTTGTTTTTGTTTTGAGCTGAAGACTGAACACACTGCCTTGTATTTGCTGGGCAGGAACTCTACTACTGTCTTAAATCTCTAATCCCAGAAATCCCCCATTTATCTCTCAACTATTTTTAAAAACCTAGAAAAAAACTGTCAAGCCAAAATTTTGTGAAAATCTGTAACCATACTTAACTAGTCACTTAATTTGATTTTTGTTTCAAAGACTATTTTTCCTTATTTCTTCCTTGTAATTAAGAAATCTGGAAGTTTTTATAGAAAAATGTACATTGTGATATTGGAATAATAGTAACTGAAATAATTATAGATCAGATGCTATTAGTAAAATTTATAAAACCATACAGACACACATATACACATAATAAGTGATGAGTTATGATTTACAAATATTTTTAAAGCCTTTGGGAAGAAATCTAGTGAATAAATTAGAAAACAATCCTGTACTGGTATATTTTTTCCCTTTCTTTGAGATACATTCATTGATCACTCAGGGAGGCAGAGGAAGGTGGATCTCTGAGATAGAGGTCAGCCTGGTCTACATAACAAATTCCAGGCCAGCTGGGGCTATAGGGAAACACTGTCTCAGTTCCTAGAGAAAGTCCTAAGTATGTCACATCTCTAGTCATGCATACTATTTTGCTAAGTATGTATCCCTATATTTACAGACAAGCATACCTCTCAGCACTCATCAAAGAAGCTTCTTTTTGCAACAAATGGAGACCATTACAGAGTTCTGCAACTGGTCAAACGCAGAGAGTAAGTGATACATAAATAATGGAACCTCTATACCTAAGGCTTATGGAACATAGTAGAATAGGAGGTAGAAAGAATAGTAATGCATCTCTCAATGCTCACCAGCAAAACTATCTCATGAAGCAGAGGATGAATAACAGAGAAAGCCACAACTGAAAAAAAAATGTAGAGAATGAGAGACTGTATGTCCTTGGATGGGCCTTCTCTATTAAACCTCACTCACCTAAGTCCCAGGGACCATTGTGGAAGAGAAGGCAAGAAGACTCTAAGAGCCAGGGTTGGTGGGTGACCACAAGGAAACAGTTTTTAGGGACCTATTAACTTGCTCATATGAACTTACAGCAAACACAAGACCCATGTAAACAAACCAGACAAAAATTCAGCATAGAACTGGGGAAATGGGCAAGAAACCCCAACTTTAACAGAGGAACTATTGGCAATTGTTCTCTGCTGAGTGAGGGAGAGTTGGTCTTCATTAAAGGAGTGATGCTGGATAGACTGACCAGGCTCCAGTGGATGAACTCACATGGAGAGAAATCTGGGGACACAAACTTGACTAGATAAGCCTTAACATATATGACAGAATGCATGAAATCTGGTGGGATGAATATACAGGGTGTAAAGAGGGGGAGAGGTCTAAATATGATCAAAATGTATTTTATGAAATGCACAAAAATTTGATAAAAATATATATTGATGAAAAATCCCAAATCAAAACAAGCAAACAAAAATGCTACATTCTAGTTTGTCATAACTAATAAAATGTAATGACATTATAAGCTGAACTGAATCAGATTAATCTTCTATAATAAAATAAAATTTTATATCGTGATAATGAAAGACCGCATTGGCTTTCAAGACCGTGCTTAATAGATTGTAGGTCCATCTTTCTTACCTGCAATGAACAACCATAGGTGTGGTGTCATGTGCTCTGTTTGCTCGTACCAACTTCACAAAATGAATTAGAGGAGCAGTGTTCTCAGGAACTCCATGCTCAGGCCAACCAGTAAAGTTACACTGTCGGACAATCATGCAATCTCCATGCTAGACAAATGACAGATTAATAAATGATAACATTACTTATGAATGAACATGCCTTTGGTTTGGCAAGTGGATTTATAAAGTTAACTTCTTACTAAACAGAACAAATTTTTTTTTTACTAATTTTCATAGCAGATCTTTTATTGTTACATGAAACAGAAGCAGGATTGGGGCTAATGATGCATCTCAGTGGTAGAATGTTTGCCTAGCATATGCATGGCTCTGGGTTGAATTCCTAGGACTAATCAAAAGGGTAAAAAAGGAAATTTATGTGTTGTTATGAACCATAACAATAAGGGGCTTTCAAATAGATCTACCTGTCCTCAAATGTAGTAAAATGTTCTATAGCACTTAGAATAGATTTTGAGACAGTTTAACATAAAATGGGAAGTAAATACATTCATCAGCTATACAAAACTAAGGCATTAAGTGTCTATAACTCAGAAAGTGAAAAGGTTCTTATGCCATTCTCTATGTGTATAGGAAGTTACATCACAATGTAGTGGTACCCAGTAATATGTCTTCAGTAGTGTTTCTGGATTAAAAGGAAAATTAAGAGACTGGAGCAATGGAAGCATGAGAACCCAAGTTTGGTCCCAAGCACTCACGTAAATGGCCAGACATGGTGGCACAAGTCTGTAACCCCAGTACTGGGGGATCAGAGATAAACTGATTCTTGAAGGTCATTGGTCACTTAGCTCAGCCAAGTTGGTGGGCTTCTGGTTCAGTGAGGGACTCTGACTCAAAACATAAAGCAATCAAGGAAAAACTCCAATTTACCCCTGGCTTCCACATACACAATCATACACATGCACACACACATGCAAACACATTTGCATATGCCCAAATGAACCTGCACACACACATGAACAAACACATACACAAACACACACACAAACCACACACACCACAAATCAAGCCTTGAGGACTAAGAGATGAATGACATGAAAACTCCTATCATAAGACAAATAAGTTTCTTCATAAAAAATCCTTAGTGATCTAATAATTTTCTTCGCTTTCCTGTTTTTATCAACCTGAGGTTTTAATATCAACAGGTTGATATATACTGTAATACATGGTTTGAAACTAAACGGTGACATGCATACTTCAATAAATGTATCAATTCAAAACTTGTGTTTAAAACACTGTGGAAATTTTAATTGGGATTGTGCTGAATCTCTAAAGTGGTTTTTTAGTAGGATAGCCATTTTCACAATATTAATTCGACCAATCCATGAGCACGAGAGGTTTTTTTCATCTTTTAGTGTTTTCCCAAGTTTGTTTCCTCAAGATTTAAAGTTCTTATCATAAAGAACTGTTGAATCTTTGGTTAGGTTTATTCCTAGCTTTTGAAGCTATTGTGAATGGGAACATTTCCATGACTTTTTCTCTGCTTGTTATTAGTATATAAAAAAGGCCACCGATTTTTACAAGCTGATTTTGTATCCACTTTGCTGAAAATGTTAACTATTACCTAAGTGTTTTCTGTTGTTATTTTTGGAATTTCTTATTTGCATCACCTTAAAATAGGTATACTTTGATTCTTTTTCCAATTAGTATCCCTTTCATCTCCTTCTTTTGTCTTATTGCTCTAGCTAGAGTTGCAAGCACTACATTGAAAAGAAGTAGGGTTAGTGTACAGCCCTGTCTCATTTCTGATTTTAATGGGAATGCTTCAGGTTTCTCTTGATTTGGAATGATGTTGTCAGTTGGTTTGTCATGTGGAGCCTTAATTATGCTGAGGTATAACTTGCATAATGTCAAAAACATTTGACATGCCAATGTGTTTGGGGGAAATTTCAAGGAATCTCCTTAAAGATGAAGAGCTACAGGCAATCAATGGATGTTGAGAGAGGGAGAATTGGTTTTCTCCAGAGACTAGCTCTGTGAAGAGTTATTTAACCCCAAAAGAATCAGCTCTAAATATTTGAAAACACAAATACCACTAAATAGACTCTGTGTGTGTGTGTGTGTGTGTGTGTGTGTGTGTGTGTGTATAACAATAATATCCAAAGAAGCGACTAGAAATTGAGAGGGCGTAGGTGGACCTGGGAGGAGTTGGAAGAGGGGCTGAGAGAGATGGAAATGATGTGAATGCAATATTCACGTACGGATTCTCAAAAATAAAAACTGTACAAAACTATAGAAAAGCATCATTGAATACACATATATTTGGAAGAGCTGTTTCTACATATTTTCACTCTAAACATTTATATCATTCATTCATATTTTATATAACATTCGCTTTCCTTCTTTTTTACCCTTTCAATTTTCAGATCTCTGATGGTCCAATCTATTTGAATGTCCTCCATAAGCTTTGTAATCACTATGTCTCCAAAAACTGTCACTGGCTTGTTGTCCTCTGGCCAATACTGATGGCATCTGATCTGCATTCAGAGCAAATCACCAGTCAAGAGTCATTATTATGTTGCTATTTGCAGAGTCAATGATATTAAGCTAAAGTTATTTTATAGGTAACAAAAGCATTGAAAATATTTTGTATAGCTTACCCTTCCTTTTTCAAAACACTGTGTGAGCATTACTAATGTTTTCGCTCTGGTTTCCCACACCATTCTCCAAAAATCTCCAACTGTTCCTGGTAATGGGCCTTGTGTAGCAATAAACTCATTTGGACATAAGTACCCCTATAAGGAGGCAATTCCATACAGAGAATCAGTATTCACTTTTAAATAGCAAGTATATATTTACTTCTTGATCAATACTTGAAAATTTATTCATTGTATAAATATGTGTTTATTTGAAAATATTGCATACTTTAAAATGGTAAATAATCATAGATACTCCAAATTTCCAATATAGACACCTAGTCTCACAATCTAGCATATTGCAAGAAATTTGTTAATAGGTTATGTATTAAGTAAGAGAGAAAAAGATGAGACAAATAATGATTCTAAAAGATGATGAAGAAGACTCAAGAAAAGCAAATCTGTATGGAAAATCAGGAATTCATATTGAATATATTAAACTTGAATTAACTATTACGTATTCAAATGGAAATGTTATATATCAACTAGGCATATGAGTTTGGAATTAAGGGAGAAGTTCAAAGTGCAAAGATAAATCTGAAAGTTATCCATACTTAAAGTCTTCAAAATGGATGAAATCACAAGGAAGAAGTATTTGGGAAGAGACAGTAAATTCAATATTGAGCTTTAGAGCATTACAAAGCTTGCAGATCAACTTGATAAGAAACAATTGCTGCAATTTAGAGAAAGAGTCAGAGCTGCTGATAGATCCAATTTGGGGGTAGAGAGGCTGACATTCCACGCAAGTTTTCTGAGTAGTTATTTGGTAATGTCAAAAATAGCAGTTTTAGTGTTCAGTTTACAAGGCATCAAAGCCTAATATGAACAGGCTGAAAAATAAATAAAAAATAAAAACAATTA